ACTGAACACGCTATGAAATATGCTGTTGCAACAACAGAATACTGCATCAGACGCTTTATGCTTTCCATTTTGAAAGCTGTTTCACATCTGTCCCAGCGCTCAAAGGAAATATTTCGAAGAAAACAGAGAGCTGAGGAAGGTGCTTTTCCCTGACGCTGAATGATGTCACGTCTTGTCTCGGCAGACAGTGCTGTGCTCTTTAGCCTGCTGCTTGGCAATTAGTGGTCCGATGTGACCGAGCTGAACTGCGATCTCACACATACACGTGAGATGGTCGCACCACACTGCCAGGACACTCCACGTCTGTCTGACCAAACACACTGAGGACGGGCAGTCATGGAAAACAGTGTGACTGTGTGTGTGTTATCTTTTCATTGTGCCTGGTTATTCATATTTCTGCCATAAGGCATCGTAACGCTGCAAGGAAGGAACCTTAAAACCTTAAATTATTGTATTTTATCACTGGCGCCTCTTATGGAGCGTTGTGTGGGTTGCAGCATCATAGCAAAGCAAAGTGTGCATTGGCCTGAAGGTTAGGAAAGTAAAGTGTTTATACTGGATCCTGATGATCAGGATTAGTTTATCTTAGTTTATCCATTCAGCCCGGCAGTGTTTTTGTTTTAAGCTCAGTTTAGTTTAAGCTGGATTCCACAGTGGCTTTAATCATTTATTGTTTAACATTTACTATATAAGCAAATGCATACTATTGTAATCTTTGCATTCTTGTAAATAACCATATAAACATTTTTTTTATTGCTACTATGTCTGTGTCGTTTTTTTAAAAAGCCGCTTTTATCCCTTGACGTTGGTTGACGGGGAGTCACTAAATGACAAAGTATCTTTATCTCTATTTATTGTTTTTAGGGTTAGTTTTGGTCTTTTTTAGTTATTATAAAATGGGGCGCATTTATGGGGGGAAGATTCAAAGCTGTTCAGAACATTTGATAGAAACATGAGAGTCTGTAGACACCAGTCCCACAAACACAAATGCACCAGATACTCACCCCACTGGTGATGAAACGCTCGGTATTTTTACTTTGTTTCAGTTTGTTTGGTGAGTGCAGATCATCATTTCAGCTAGTTTCCATTTTTTGTTATTTTTAAAATGACTAGATTTTTTTTTATTTCAGCAACTGAAAGTTTTTTACTAAACCTAGTTTTAGTCTTACTCAACGTAGAGATTTTTGTTGGGGGGTGCGCCTTTATCTGACATATTGAGATAACACATTTCCAAAGAGCTAAAATAATGTACATTTTTAAGTGTTATCTATTTTATCTTGACTAATCATCAACACGCTTTATTTTTCCTAGTTTGTGATGTTAGACGACATTGTCTGTTTCCGGCCAGGGAAATGTCATCAGTGAAAACTTTTTTTTTTTTTATTTGAAGAGGCTAGATCTACTCTTATACTGTTTCTTAGTTTTATGATCCCTGAAAATAAAAATCCTTTAGTTTTTGTACTTTTGGAGACCACAAGCTCAGTCTTCGTGGGCTCAGATCAGCGTTACTTCTTTCAGGCTGCGATTAATGTGCGTTCAGCTCTCTAGTGAGTATTTACAGACGCAAATGTGGAAAAGACTTAAAATAAATTACAGTGCCTGTGTTGATAGCTGGATTACTTTGGCTGTTTATTGTTGTCAGCGAGCCAGTTAGAAAAATCCCGTGAAGCTGCACCATGGCAGAAGGTAACTTTTGAATCCGAGTGGGAACTGGGAATGTACAGTGGTTGCCGTGTTTTAATAGATCAAAGGTCAATCACAGCGAGATAACAGCAGTAGTAAGTGCTGCGTGGGACGGGTTCATGTTGATGTTTGAATAATATCTTGATTCGTCACCAACAAGTTTGTGATAGATTTGCTTACGTGCCCATTTAAAGCAGTGCTACCTTTATACACCCTAGCATTAGTAAAATAAACAGTGTAGACATGTACATCTTCACTGTCAAAAACCACAAACAGCTCCAGCAATGAATCCATTTGTTTTAAACTCCCAGCAGCAAACATCAGGCAAACTTTAATTATGCGATTACACAGCGTTTTGGCTCTGTTGACGTGCTGAATCAGCAATAGATTTATGCTCATATTCCTGCGCTTATCCCCATTAAAGGATTATTTTGAGACGTATCACAATTAAAAGTGCTCCTCGTTTGGCTGCTGGCATTAAGTGCACGCCACAGCGCCACTCATTAACTTCTGTATGCAGACACGCTGTCTTAGAGCAGCCTAGTGAAATTACAGGGGGGGAAACACTGGCAGCAAAGTCCACAACAGTCACAAAATAACACCCTGCTGTGACAAGGGAAATTACACGTCTTTGGAATTGAAATTTTAATAGTGCATAGATATAATTGTATCAGGGAGAGGAATGCGCAGCACATGTAATCGGATGCTTTCATGTTTTGATAAAACACAGCGGTGGGATTTATTCTCAGCTCTTTAAATCTTTCTCTTGGTCAAATGAAAAGATGAAACTAAGGCGCTGCGCAGATTTATGTTACATTTAACGTGCTGTTAAAGGCTTATGTGAACATTCATTCATTAGGATAGATTATTTCCCTTATTTGCTAGACAATGCACTATAAACGACAGCGGTAGAGAGGGTTTAGCTAATACTTGACATACACTACAGCAGGATTAGAGTATAACCAGCCAGTAATCACATGCAGATACCAGTAAGCTGGTGTCATTATGCAGCAGTGGTCGAGATGTGTTTATATGGCTCAGTGGCTGCACTATATGAGTGGATCAGTATAAGCAGTTCCCACACCCTCTCAGGTGTCCTGTGCTCAGGGCGGCCTGGCCCAGGTACACAGATAAAGGCTGCCTTTGTCTGCAGCGGGGAACAGGTAACCATTTGAGCCTGCCTACCGTGTGTGTGTGTGTGTATGTGTGTGTGTGTGTGTGTGTGTGTGTGTGTGTGTGTGTGTAAGAAAGAAACAGAGAGATAGGATTGACTGGTCTGCCTACCTTTGCCACAAGAACAGGTGTGGCTTTTCAACGGCCTCATATTCACAGCATACACATCTGCGCTCAACAAAAAGGAAGGTAAACTGTGATTTCCAGTCCGTGATTCTCCAGGCAAACACGCAACATTACAAACATACTCTCAGTGAAAGCACGAGTGTATGCTTTTATCCACTTAAGGGACACTAGGCGCATGCCAATTACAGGTACTCAGGTTAATGGGATACATTAATGTAAAATGTAAGCTTCTCGTAAACATTTGCAGTGTGAGAATGATGATTAAGCTCTAAATTACAAAAAAAAAATCCCCAAATTAAAGGGTATAATTTCTGGCTACAGAGAGCCTGCACTGTGTGTGTGTGTGTGTGTGTGTGTGTGTGTGTGTGTGTGTGTGTGTGTGTGTAGGCTGTTGTGGAAAAATACTGATAGAAAAGTTAAAAATTAACATACAGCCCTGTATTGTCATTCAGTACACTATTTTTGCGCTCTGTGAGTTTACAGGAGTTTAAAATAATAAACTGAAGCTGGATAGATTTAAAATTAAACATGCAGGCTAACATATTTTATCCTGCAGTGCTAACAAGTTATGCTGCAAGATATATATTTTTCATGAGCATTCAGTAGTTATCTTTATTAAAAATGAACAAAAAAAAGAAGTGACTGAAAACAAATGTGGCACAAATGTGAGCGTGCATGTGTGGAAAACGGCATTAGTGCTTGCAAATCTGTTTGCTACGTACAGTTTAACCAAGTGCTTCAGCCACAAGAGCATATATTAAAAAAAAAAAAAACTGACGAAGAAATTAACTTTTTGTTATTATTGCCAAGAAAACAGAAGAATCTGGTGTGCTGCCATCGACAGCAGCGTGATTATGCCAGAACCACATGCCTAGGTTCCTGCGAGGATGTGACTTGAATATAAAAACTATTTCCTACCTCTATATTCCTCTGTGGGTTTGAGGCTGTGTGTGTGTGTGTGTGTGTGTGTGCTGTACGTTCGTGTCTGCCTTATTCTTTTCCCTAGGTGTTTAGGCCAAAAGTTGAGGATTACTTGCCCAGGAAGCAGTGTAAGCAGAGACAGAGCTCCACTGGTGTGTGTGTGTGTGTGTGTATATAAAGAGCCTGTCAGGAGAGCTAACTTTATGACCCGCTGCTGTGTTTCAGCAGACACTCACTGTAAATAGTCAATCACTAAAGGTGCCTGCTGAAGACAGCAGCTGACAGGAAGTCAGAACAACAACCAGACTGACAGATGAGTGTAGAGCTCAGGTGAAAGGTGAGAGTGCTGACGATCTCGTCCTCCGTCTGTTCTTCTGTTGTGGTATTCTGTCTGGAGCTGCAGTGTGTGCACGTGTGTGTGGAGATGTTAAGTACAGGGGGTGAATGCTGTGTGGAGAAAAGTCCTTTAATTAGAGCAGGAAGACACTGCATCAGACTTAAATGTGCGTGCGTGCGTGCGTGCGTGTGTGTGCGCGCATGTCTGCACATGTCAGTTTCAGGGTCCTTTTTCATGGAGCTGTATATGTGCCTTTATCCTGCTGCACGAGTTGTAAAATGTGAAGAAAGGGTTTTAGAAGGTCGTTCTTGTGCCACCTCCACACAGTCGGCATCCATAAATGATCTAAATGGTTTCACAAACTTCCAGAATTTGGACTGCTGCTTATTAGAACTGAAAACACCGAAACACTCGATCGATTGTTAGGAATCCTCTGGCGACACTAAGCCAGGCTGCAAACACTGAGCCGCGTCCGACCATGTTCGATTGCAAGATAAGTGGTTTGCTGCTGTAGTCGTTCTGTCCAGCAAGGTGGTTGGAGGAATTATGTTTGCTCCATGTTTTTCAGATGTTACTGCAGAATTAAATGCTATTTTTTAGGCAGTTCTAAATCCTGAATGTACATTTTCTAAATCCTTTTTTTATCCAGTCCCTTATGAGCCACTGTTTACCAAAGCTATTAACAAAGTTCCAGTCTGCAGCTCATTTGCATTTGAATTAGAAAATAAGAATTTGTGATCTTCCCTCTCTTCTTTTTTAGCTCTCATGTGCCCGTTCAGCGATGCTCCCCGGGTATGGGTTCTCACCTTTGCCTGACTTCCAGCCTCACCTTCATGCCATTCGCTGCCCAGGAGAAGCCCCCAGCATGTGGATCCCGGGCGGCTCGGCAGAATCCCAGAGTCTGAGTGAATCCACCGAGGACAGACGTCTCATCCACATGTGTCACCACAAGCACGTTGCTGTGTGCCAGCAGGAAACGCTGGCTTTTTTTGAGCTACAGCCAACAGCGACTCACAGATTAAATGGTTTTGGCTCCTCGAGGCCGGCCATTATACCACACGCACAGTGCACAACACACTCGCAGCATCTGAATGGTTGCAGACAGACGCTAAACGAACAGAATGACACATGCAGCAGAGGCCGCAGGACAGACAGCGAGCGTGGAACAAATCTGAATTCGAACTCTCCCGCACTCGCCGCAGGTGACGGCGAGCTTGAATGCCAAAATGGCAGCAGGACTCGTTCGCAGGAGGAAACTGAAAAGCCACGAACGGTCACGACAGTATGTCGTCCTCTCCACGCTGCTCTTAGCCTCCCTCTATCGTTCCCTCTGTCCTCTCTGTACACAAACAGAGACTCCTTGGAATCTCAGCTACCGTCGTCACCAGAATATCCTGGCATTCAGGGCCCAGACTCCTGCCAGCCTCAGAGGAGAACATCACAGGCTTCCCTGAAAGAGAAATCCATCCGTGAGTGTAAACCTTTTGTTTGATTTGGCAAATTAGGCTCTAAAGCTCCTTAACATTCTTTCTTCTCATCTAATAAAGTAATTTTCTCATGCGCAGGGAGAAAGATGCAGGTTTATTCCCCAGACAGTCCGAGTGATGAATCGCTCAGCAGCCCAGTCCTGGAAGCAGACTACATCTTTCCTGGACCTTTTGCATCTTTCTTAGAGGAAGACCTCAGCGGAATATCTTCACTAGAGACCATTTCAAGTCCCTCATCCACAGACGGTGCTACGGATCTCTCAAACACCAGTCACGATGATATTTTTAATCTACCCGAAGAACCGTTGCAAATAATAGAGGACTCGATGCCATGCGTAGGAGAGGTGAGTGGCAGCATGGACACATCGATCGCCGCGGGTGGAGGGAGCTCTTTGTCACGCACCCGCCAAGGCGACCAGGAACGGCGGCGCTTCTCAGCTTCAGAGATAATATCGAGGCTTCAGCTATCGCAAAGGAAGAACTCCTTCACCTTGAAGCTGGGGAAGTCGCTCTCTGCTCGGGTAGCCTCCAGGGACAGACAGAGCTCCAGCAACCTCAACCCCAACACCGACTGTGAGTAGACAACAGTGATGGATCAATCAAGAGTTTTCCAAAGCAGCCCAACGGATTATAACAGATCAGTGAGACAAATTAAAGATGACTTAATAAGATGACTACCACAGCATGCTGTTTGGGGCAGTTTATTCATTTACTTCTTCCAAAAGTTTAAATCTTAAATGCCTATTAGAAATTTAGCATTTACTGAGCAGAGGCAAGAGTGACCACAAGCTGTAATGACTGCAGGATTCAGCCACATTAAAAGTTCTACTGTGCTTTAAACTCGAGGGGTGAATGTTAGTGGAACAAAGCCTAACCACTCAGGCAACAATCATGAAATCATCATCTCTAATAACTTTGCTATTGCTACCAAGCACCAAGCACAGGCTGACTGTAGAGTGTACAAACTGACAGTGATAAATAGCTTTTCCTATGTTCTCAGAAAAGAAGCCTCAGGTTAATCCTTGGTGTAAAAAGTCATGAAAAAGAAAGTACAACAGTTCTTTGTCTCCTTTATTGCATGCGGTCTATCAGAGTAGGTCTCAGAAGGTCATGTCATAAATGCCATAAATCTCACATCCACTATCTGCATTTCATTCTCCTAAGGTAAGTCAAACTCAAAGCAGCGGAGCTCAGGAGGCTCCAGTGACAGCGCTCCCCAGAGTCCCGTGGGACCGGCACCTTCCTTTCCCAGCAGTGACAATGGGATGCCTTTGCAACGCTGGAGCGCCAAGCTCGGGTAAATAGTAGCAAAAATAGTGCTACTTAAAATCTGTAAAGAATAAATCAAACATAGAGTTTCATTTCCCATCGTTTCGCAGAATGCGTAAGAAATCCATAGAGGAGGACCTGAACACACATCCATCTGTTCCTAGTTCAAATCGACTGTCACGGTTTTTACCCAGCTGTAAGTTCGCTTCACTTACTGTTTGTTTTTTCCAAAACTGTAAGATATTCCAATCTTTACAAAGTCTTACCTGTTCTTTCCTGGAACAAACTTGCTCTTTTTGCAGCGATTCTGTACCAGGAATACAGCGACGTCGCCATCAATAGAGAGATCCAGAGGCAGCAAGGGAAGGAGCCGGGCACAGAGGAGGAGGGGCTCAGGGAGGAGGGCTCTGATGGGATCCCGTCTCCATCAAATCTGTCCCCATCCAGCTCCTTTCGCTCATCGCGAGGCTCTGCTTTTGCACTGTGGCAGGATATACCTGATGTTCGAAGCAGCGGGCAGCTCGACAACTTCAGCAACGAAGAAAGGAAATTACAGGAGGTGAGTAAAATATTACGTTTCCGTCTCATTTCATCTCTGTTTCACTCTTACTGCTCTTTATAAAGCTGAATTGCTGCTTTTATCTAAACTCAGGCAAAGTTTGAGCTGGTGACGTCCGAGGCGTCGTACATTCGCAGCCTGACAATCGCAGTGGACCACTTCATGCTATCACCGGAGCTCGCAGACTGCCTCGGGGCTCAGGAAAAGCAGTGGCTCTTCTCCAAGCTGCCCGAAGTCAAAGATGTCAGTGAGAGGTGAAGTAACACGCAGCTGACGTCCTTCTGTTACCCTGAGGTCGGCGTGTGCTAACATCTCCAGTATCACATCTCCTTCTCTGAGTCTCTCCTCGCTTGTTGCCTGTAGATTTCTTCAGGATCTGGAGCACAGGCTGGAAGAAGACATTCTCCGTTTCGATGTGTGCGACATCGTCCTGGACCACTGCCCGTCTCTGCGAAGGGTTTATTTACCCTATGTCACCAACCAGGCTTACCAGGAGCAGACATACCAGCGTTTGCTGTGAGTGTAGAAACACATCAGCCCCGGGAGACGTGAGCACACATCTGCACATGTGCTTGACCGCAGTGCATAAAGTCTGATTGTTGTGTGGCTGTCTGAGAGTGCTCTGGTGTATTTTCACGCCTGCATGACTTAACTTGCAGATGATTCATCTCGACTAAGAGCATGTTTTCTCAAGCTGAATTGGATGCTGGAATTTTGATTCACTTTCTCTGAAAGTCATTAAAACATTTCTCGCCCTGTCCTCTCAGGCACGAAAACCCTCGTTTCCCCGGCATCCTGGCTCGCTTGGAGGAGGACCCCATCTGCCAAAGACTTCCTCTGACCTCTTTCCTAATCCTGCCGTTTCAGAGGATCACGCGGCTTAAAATGCTAGTGGAGGTACACGCTTAAACATTCACTGCAGAATTCCAGTTGAAACCCAATCATACGGAACTGCATACAGGATAACTCTTCGTTTTCCCGTGCGACATCACCACACAAAAGTATTGTTTACTCCTTGGAACATCTTCAAAACCATCTTTACTTTTCAGAATATCTTAAAGAGGACAACACCGGGTTCCCGAGATGAGGACACCGCCACCAAAGCTTTCAATGAGCTAAAAAAGGTGGTGATTATCATCTGTAATAGCCAGTTGGATGAGTACCAGTAGTGAGACATGACAGTAATCACCATGTTGGTATTTGTCTTCTTAGATCATCAAAGAATGTAACTCCAGTGTGCAGTCGATGAAAAGGATGGAGGAACTCATCCATCTCAACAAGAAAATCCACTTTGAGGGCAAGGTGAGGGAAGCGTTTGAAGGTTCCTCTTATTATCACATTTTTGTATTTTTTTTTTTTTGTTCATTAAAGCGGAGCCTGCTTCCTTTCTTTGTAGATCTTTCCTCTTATATCCCAGTCACGTTGGCTGGTAAAGCACGGAGAACTCCTGGAAGTAGACACTCAGACAATGAGCATCTCCGGATCAAAGCTCAAGTTACCCACCAAGCCAGTGTACCTCCACCTGTTCAATGACTGCCTGCTGCTGTCCAGGAGGAAGGAGTGAGTTACATTCAGTGTGCACACAAAGAAAAGCTGAAATATTGCTCTAATGATGCATAACATGAAAAGTGCCAAAGGTGTGGCCAGAAAAATTCATCCATTTTCAGTAAACTGCAAGCGGCACACTGGCGAGGATTCCAGTTTGGGTCATTTCCACCGGTCTGTCTCAGACAGTAGAAGTCTGTGTTGACAGTCTAACCCTGGGCCATGAATTCACGTTGCAGAGCCCCATAAATGTCGGGGTGGGGGGAGTCCAGGATGTGCTCCCGCCGCTTTGATTATTGAGATCTGGGGACTCTTTGACCGAAAGCTGCTGTTTGGTCTCTTGATCTCATCAAGACTGATCACCCTCAGCATGAAAGTCGTCCCACTTTCACATCGAAGTTTAAGGTCCCGTGTCAAAATGGAACAAATGCAGAGGGTCATAATAGGACTTCCGCAGAGCATTAAAAAGTGGTAAAAGTGCCAGAAGCGGCTCAGATATGCATGAGAAGATGATCTTAAAGGTGGTATCTACCTAGTTTAAAGGTGTTGTTTCAGTTTGACAATTTAGTGTTTTTCCCAGACCTTTAACCCCACAGTGAGGTGATCAGGTGACTCTATTATGCTGTAGGCAGCATTTTGCTGCCATAATATTGGTTCGATTGTCCCTTTAAATGGTAAATGGCCTGTATTTATATAGCGCTTTACTAGTCCCTAAGGACCCCAAAGCGCTTTACATATCCAGTCATCCACCCATTCACGCACACATTCACACACTGGTGATGGCAAGCTACATTGTAGCCACAGCCACCCTGGGGCGCACTGACAGAGGCGAGGCTGCCGGACACTGGCGCCACCGGGCCCTCTGACCACCACCAGTAGGCAACGGGTGAAGTATCTTGCCCAAGGACACAACAACCGAGACTGTCCAAGCCGGGGCTCGAACCGGCAACCTTCCGATTACAAGGCGAACTCCCAACTCTTGAGCCACGATCGCCCCTTCCTTTACAAGGAAAAATCCCTGCAAATCATTTCAAAGTTGTAGTGAACGCTCTTTATTGAGGAGTGGTGGAGTTTTTCCAATATTACAGGCTACACCTGCACCAAATAGGAAAAGATTGCTGCTTCATTCCTTCTGTAGAGTACCAAAACCAAGTAGAATGGGTAGGTGGTGCTGGTGGTTCAACAACTTACTGAGATGTAGTTTTATCTATGAATTTGTATATACTGCTTGCTATTGATCATTATACTAAAATGACCCATTGTCCTTTGCAGTACATGGAAGTTTATGGTGTTTGTACACGCTAAAATCGGAGAGTTGAAAGTGAAGGATCTCAGTCAGAAGCTGCAGGGCATCTCAGGCTTCATCTTCCACCTACAGCTGTGTGAAGGCCAGCAGCTCAAACATCAGATTCTGCTCAAATCACACACCGAGTGAGTGTCATGTCTTTGTCAAAAGCTTCAGTCACAGCTGGACAAGTTAAGTTGTTTAACCGCTCCTGTCGGCTTTGTGTTTGCCAAGGAGCGGGAAGCAGAGATGGATCACCGCCATGTTTCCGTCTGACCCACTCGTAGACATCGAGCAAGCCAATGAAAATGATGGTCAGTGGAGATCTATCAGTGCAGAAAGATTTAAGGCAACACTATTCACCTCCTCATTCATGTTCTCGCTTCGTGCCTTTTCCTATTAGATATATCGCAAGTTCAGTGCATCAAAAGCTACCAGGCTCAAGAGCACGATGAGTTAACACTGGAAAAAGCTGACATTCTTCACGCCAAGACAATTACAAGTGATGGTAAGAATCGGGCAGAGTCTGTTTTTTTTTTGGTTTTTTTTACCACTCCAGCCTGAACCTAAATGAACAGAACATGGATGCATTAAACACGCAGCTGTTTATTTGATGTCTAAGGGCTGCTGTGTTTCAACAGGCTGGGTGGAAGGCATCAGGCTGTCAGACGGGGAGCGGGGCTGGTTCCCCAAATGCTACGTGGAGGAAATCACAAGTCGCAGCGCGCGCCTCCGCAACCTCAGAGAAAATATCCGCATCAAATGTGTCACACAGAAACTGAAGGGAGAGCACTAACTCTTTTTAACTTGCAACTTGTCATGTGTTAAAGTTGCATTTTGAAGCTTGTGGATGATTGTTTTCTTTTTTAGATGGACGTGGGACCTCCGTAAAGTATGCAGGTGCTAAAACAAGCCAACGTGTTTTGATTGTTATCCCCGTGGTTGACATTAGCAGTTTCCTTTGGCACACTAGCTCCAGAAAGAGAGTGCAAAGCTTCTAATGCTCATTTTCCATTTGGAGTTTAGATTTTCCACACGTAAGACTGTAAACTACACAGGGGGATTACTTTATGCATGATTCGGTACCATTTTTACAGGCTGGAAAGAATGAAGAATGTGGTTTAAATATGCGCACGTTTATCACCAGAGGTAGTAAATGTAAGCATCACTAAGCAAGTCTGTCACTGTTTTTCTATCATGGCTCATGTGGGGCACAATCTTACTTTGGGCTGTCTCCTGGCCTCTGTGGGGTGCTGCAGGTTCACTCTTCTAATAATCAGAAATGTGCTTGATGCGGGTGCTGCTTCTGAGATGCCTCAGGACACACCACAGGCAGTTTTTTCACATTCATATCTTCACGTGATATACGATTTTTTACCAGTGCAACAGCGCATTATTTCCATCTACACCCTAAAGTGATAAGAATTTGGTCAAACATGCTTACCTCTTTACTAGAGGATGATACCTTTTTATCTGGACATGATCTGCAGTATCAGATCATGTGCTGTGATGAAGTGCTTTCAGGACGGTATTTTAGAAAGGAAACAAGTCGTAGGGTTTAATACCGGTTACACTGTATCCACATATGTAGCCAAACCCTGATATATTGTGTGTATTCCTCTGTGCCATAGACTTCCACTTTTGTTCAGAATCCACTGGTGACATCTCTAATTTGTCAGTCGCACCATGACTGGTGTACAACAACATAACATTGAAACATCTACTCCTGTTTTAGTAACATCTGCATGAAGTCAAAGCCGCAGCGAGCAGCTGTTGACCTATAAAACCAGGAACTGAAAAACCTACCAGTTTCACCTTGTCGGGCATTTACATTAACCATCCATGTGGTAAATGTGGACGTTTAGCATTACATGTAATCATTTTAAAAACTTTTTTGACCCAAATTAGCAATATAATTGATTATACCGTTATACTAGAAATACTGAAAAAATACTGCTTGCATACACTAAGCACTAACTTGCGTATAGGTCTCCATCCTTCAAATTATTTTGTGTAAAAATTCACAAGTGACCAATAGCACAGTGTGACTGAGCTGAAAGCTGTTGTTAATGAACCACTTTAATTAAGATTCCAGTGTAAATTCATCCAGCGGCACATGAAATGTTTGTAACACAGCTTATTTCTGTATCTCACTTCTTAGTTTTAATTTAAACTGTTGCAGTTGCAGTATGTGTATTTATAGTTACTCCTCTAGCTGGTTCCTCTCTAAGGAGATTCTGATGTAAATGTGTTTTCCGATAAAATGGGTTTGTGTATAAAGAGCAAAACGTTATGACTGTAATTTATATGAACTAAGATTTGACAAATACTATTGTATAAATATGACATTTGGAGTCAGTTTAATTCCCAACGCCACAGTAATTACAAGCGCTGTCAGACACTGGATGTTTTCTGGATTTCTGCACATTACTGTAAATGTTTTGCCTCTGAAATAAACAGATCCTTACAATATGTTGTTTGGAATTAAACTTTTTTAAATAGTTTATTTTGAAAAGGTAAAACAAAGCTACATACAGGTATTTACAGTTTATTCACCCCTAAGTTTAAGCTATTTTTGAGACTCTACAGTTTCTACATCTAACATTTCTTCAGGTCTGATCTGCTCTTAAACTGGGTCAAGGACTAGTTTACGCTCGAACATGAATACTGGCTTTAAGTGCTGTGTTCTGTCTGTTCACAGTGACAAAATCAACCAAATATATCAAAGATTAGAACGAGAAGTCTTCACTGCTCTGCCTCCATGTTGTGGCACATACGAGACATATGTACAAATTATCTACATGTTTCAAATTTATGATTACAGTGACGTTTGAGGCTCTTCCTCCCGTCTGAGGAATCAGCCGCGTCCATTGATGTGATATGGGTCGGCTGCTAGCATTGGTTCCTGGGACTCCTTCCTGTTCCTCTGCAGCTTTGGCATTATCGGAGGTGGCGGTTGACTCACAGTAACATGGTTGCTTCTGTCTGGCTGCAAATTAAAAAGAAAATCTTGTTTATGCAAATATGCCGCACGGTTAAAGCACCACACGTCATGTTCTGCATGACAAGCAGTTTTTCTTGCATCTAGAAAAACAACGGACTTTAAAAAGCCTGTGCTTAAGGAGTGTCCAAATAAACATTTTTTATATCTTCTGCTTTCAGAGTTGCTGAATATAGCTGCATGAATGTGCTTTTAATCTCAAACAAGTTCATACAAGTTGATTTTCATACCAAACTAAAACAAGTGACTACCACACATAAGCCTAAACTATGCAGAAATGTGATCGGTCAGTTCATAGAAAGTTTTCTTCTAGAAAGTATTTTATTATGCAGCTACTTTACAACTGCTAAGGAAACGTACCGTTTAATGCCACAATTTTCTTGAATGTTTATGTCCTCCTGCTCTTGGCAAACCATTTACCGGTAGGCCAAAAAAACTCTTTGTTGGTCACTTCATTAGATATACATGTTCAACTGCTTGTTAACACACATATCTAATCAGCAAATCACCTTTAGGCATGTGGACATGTTCAAGATGACTTGCAAACTAAACATCAGAATGGGGAATAAAGGTGATTTAAACTAGATTTTCCATTATAACCATCTCGAGGGATTATAGAGAATGATCCTAGAAGGAGAAAATGTCTTTGATGCCAAAGGCCAGCGCAGACCGGCCAGACTGCTTCAAGCATGGAAATAACCACTAGTTACAACCGATGTATGCAGAAGACCATCTCTGAAAGCAGCAGCAGAAGACCGCAACAGGTGCCACTCGTGTCGACTAAGAAAAGAAAAACGAGGCTACATTTCACAAGTTGTGCCTTCTATTGTCCACAGTTGTGCAAATGTGTGATGCTATAATGTTAACATGGAACAAAATCTCCGACGAATGTTTCCATCACTCTGTTGAATTTATGCCATGAAGAACTAGCAAGGTGTACCCAATGAAGTGTCCGGTGAATGAGTATTGCTGGCTGATAAAGTGTTACATGGCAGTTTTTTAAATTAATTTGCAGAAAAGTATTTTTAAAATTTCTTTATTTTTCACTCATTTAAATAAAAAGCACATAATAATGTTTAAAATTAAACCTACACAAACTGGCTGCAAACGATCACCTTCCCTGTGACTCCCTCATCTCTCCTGACCTGTTTAGCCTCTTTCACTGTTACAGCCCATACATTATTCTTTAATGGTTCATTAAACATGTATAATCATACAATCATGTCTAACCTGTTGTAACTGAAAAATCCAGTTCTGATAATCCTCCATGCAGGTACAAGAGACCTGCAGCGGCTCCACCAGTTCACCTAAATCCAAACAAAAACAGTGATTATATGAAATGAATCACATATTTATTTTTGCCCTTCCAACGCTGCATTTAACTAAAAATACAAAGATACCACGTGTGTAGAGTGTACCTATCAGTTCAAACTCCAGCCGTCCAGGCAAGGCTGACCTCTCAACTGCTTTGACACTTTGTCGGGGCAACCTGCCCTGTTAGAATGACAGAAAAGACAAGTTGTTTTCTAGATGCTGCTTTAAAGGTTTTAACAACAGGTGAGCTGGGCTTCTGTCCTTAAAGACAGATAACCATATAAACAACATCTCCTCTCACATCATACGCAGTCGAAAGTCTAAAAGCTCAGCCAGAAACTAAACATGTAGAGCAGTCTGAAGCCTGAGCATCCACTTCTCTAACAGTGTATATATAAATATGAGCGAAAATGAAAAAAGAATAGTTAGTTCATCATTTTGGAAATAATTTTCTACTACAAAGATACTGAATGATGAAGGCAGAAAGTTTGAACTACCATGTTACCTACCAAAATAACAAGGAACATGTCATAATTACTGGGACACTGGGAAGTTTTGCTGTCACAGCAGCAGAAAAGGTGTTATTATGGATTTTTCCCACAGAGTAATTTTGCAGTACCTCATATCTTATAGTCAGGCGCTTGTTGTCAACAGATAGAAGCACGATGTCTTGAGGGAAGAGAACCATCAGTCTTTCTTGGAGACCCTAAAAGAACAAAGCCAGCATGCCTTGGTTACTGTATGTGAGCACTCACATTTCCTGTTATACCGTGTTATCAAAGGAGCTTGCAAAGAAAAGCGTCTGGACTTCTTTAAGTTGCTTGAAGACGTTTCACCTCTCATCCGAGAAGCTTCTTCAGTTCTAAGGTCAACTGGTGGAGAGTCCCAGATTTAAACCTAAAAAAGTCCAGACGCTTTTCTTTGCAAGCTCCTTTGACTACCATGACCTGGATGACTGAGAACCTTCACAGACATATACCGTGTTATATTTCCAATTTAAAGGACGATCACATTAATTTTTTCTAGGATTTTTATACGCTTTTGTCGTCTTTTGAAAAGACTTTTTGTGCATTGAGCAGCTTTATGGAAATTCTTGCCCATGTTCATTTTAGATAATCTGAACAAAGAACAACACTAATCTGAATCTCACTTCTGCCCATGACAGGGACAGAGAAGTGACTTGTTGAAGACACCCTGAACTTCTCTGTCAGTAAGTGCAGCTGTTTTTGCCGCTGTAAGCCTCTGTGATCTGGGGTTATCTCTGTCTCTGTTACCTGCTGTTTATGCTGCTGATAGCCACTGTTAGTGGCTGTTAGTCTCTGTTATCTGGGATTAATCTATGTTAGTTGCTGTTAGCTGATGTTAGTCTCTGCTACCTACTGTTTAGCTTCTGTTAGCCACAGTTAGCAGCTGTTAGCTGGCTTTCGAGATACTTTTTTGAAGTAGATCTAACTCGGACACTTGTGAATAAACTCTCATATGATGTGAATGAGAATGTATATCAACCTGTTTATCTGAAGAAAACTGTGTTTTTTCTTTTTGTTTGTTTTTAGAACACTCCACCCTAACATTAGCTGACATAATGTTAGCTTATAACCAGCTGTTGTTGTTGTTGTTTAGCCGGCCTGTTGGCAGCTGTCTAGAGGGCAGGGTCACATGTCTAATCTGCTGGAAATAAATAATTGAGAAAATATCATGAATAAATAAGCATATTTAAGTTTTTGTGTGTTAAAACACCCATATTTTGGTTCAAGAGATGATGCTTGATTTGATGATGTAGAGAATGACGTTTTATCCAGACGCCGGTCACATTCTTTATGATAAAACACAGCTATGATCTGTCATATGGTGAGTCTGCATTCGTATGCCTATGAGTTTTAACATGTCCTACGCAGGTGGCTGGTCTCTAGTCATATATAAAACGCAGTTATGCGGAATAGCGATGTCTATCTCAACAACTGTATTCAAGATGGTGGGAGGACTGTATTTTTAATTGGATTAATTCTAAGTTTATGAGATTGCATTAAGTTGTAGGAAGATCGAATTACACACGTATCAATGTATATTTATGAGAACTCATAGCTGAAAAGAGTGAAAACTGCTACATGGTGATAGAGAACAAGGTTGCACATCCTTTTTCTTAGGAGCTGAGGGGAAATATGTGCTCTTGTCAATTATGGTTCAACTTGCATCATGTGGTAAATGTAGAAGGAAAGAGTACTGAAAATAGGGCTCTTTACACTTTTCTGAGGCCTTTAAGAAGTCAGAAGAAAATGTCTTTCCATGCTGAAAGACAGCATGTATACATCATGTTCATTGCATTCATACAATATATGAATGCAATGAACATGATTTTAACAAGACTTTCCAGTTGTGGTTTGTCATAAGTTAGTTGCACAATGTTAATGTCATAGTTACCCAATCCTTTTTTACCGTGAATGAGAACTCAGAGCAGTCTTATTATTAATTTGCAAGCAATTTTTTTTGGTTCCCTATGATGGCTTCATCATTTCCCCAAAGACTATTTTATCATTCTAATAAAACAAGCTCATTTTTATTAGGATTTTAAAAAGAAGTCAAGTTTCTATTTAATGATCTAAATGGAAATTGCCTACTGTCTAATTTTGGTGATTTTTGTGCCCGCCAAACAGTTGATCATCTTTAGTTTAATATGTCAACACACAAAAAATGTTTTAAAAATATGTTACAGAAAACTTTCAGAGGACGTTGAAGAGTATTTACTACCTGTCTCTGTGTGCTGATGATGTGGACAATAGATACGTAGCTCGGCTGACCCATGTGCTGTATGGGCGAGCCCTCCCATTGCCATATTGGAGCTTGTAGTAAGTATTTTTTCAGTTCTTCTCTTTTCCAGTTCTCATCACATGGTAACTAGAAGAGAAAGATGTGCACAGTGTATTTTACTGACATGTAACTACAATACTTTGGTACAGTTGTAACCAGATGCAGTGCAACAGTTAGTCAGTACTAGATAGGAGAGAGCGCAGTGGGAGGGACTCATGGGTTGGATCATGGCCTTGTATCTCCTGTCTTCTGCGTACTGCATCCATTTCTGTAGGTCTGCCGCACTGGCACACGTGAACACCTTGGAGTCCATCACTGGACCTGGATAGAAGAGGGAACAGCATAAACCATGCTTAGTTTTTCACACTGCTTTGCACGTCTTAGTGGAACTCTGTAATTTCCACGGACTCACTGCTGATTTCAAACATGTGTGGCGAATGTGACGCGTCCAAGTCCAGAGAGACAACTTGGAAGGAAAGTCCAGAAAGGGGAAGAATGCCCTGCAAGATAAACGAAGACAAACTTAAAGAAATGAATAACACCGACGATTAGATTCCTGTATTAAGATTGCAGTGCAGAAATTGCCTGACAACAAAAACCCAACATTTAAGAATTTAGGACATTGATCCCTAAAAGTTCCTGCAGATTTATTGTGTTTCTACACTTTCAAAACATAATTCACCCTACAAAGTTTGGAGATTTTCATCAAAAAAAAGTGAAAGGTGTTTGGGAAGGTGGCAGGCACAGTGGATCTGAATAGCTGCATTATAGACGTTTGACAGTATATTTGGGGTTTGACCCATAGCTGGAAATAAAAACTTAAATCATTCTATTTTCACCTTTTGCAACTTGGAAGTAAAATTCTAACCTGTTTGAATGCAGCTTGATGCAGGGTATTATGACTAGGGTCTAAAGTTACAGTATACAGTTTTCTGATCACAAGAGACAATTTAATAAGTTAATGAATTAATTTTTCATTATTAATAAAGCCAATGTGTGAAAAAAGGCATGTGCATGTACAACACAAGGATCTAAAGAGCCTTCCATTAGGTGACCTCAGTAGCCTGGGAGGGGTAAGGTTTCACAGTGGCTTCAGCAGTGGTAATGTCCCATGCCTTTTTCCAAACCTTGGTTCATGTGATGACGTAAAAGGCTAGTACTGGGTCAACGACCCCCTCATAAGGAACAACCCCCACTAGAATTTAAATACACATACATGTAGTGTATGATCACACTTTTAAGCTGATATCATGTTTAAAAGGTTTGTTGTTTATGTCGACCAGTTTGGCTTGGGGTCCTCATAGAATGAGTTAAAAATGCTCTGTTGTAGCTGTTTTCTGCAGGGCACAAATGACAGCCCGTGATTTAATTTCCAACACCCCGCAGCTTTATTATTAACACCCACTTTTAGTTTTATGTTACACTACACTAATCCAATAAAGGTTTTCACTTCTGTGAAAGAATGTGTTTAATTCAGTTTTCCAGTGATCGTCTGCTAACATAGCATTTCTAACCACACGTCTTAAAAAGTATAAAGAATACCTCATAAACAAAGTCTTGCCGAGAGTGGTCCAGAGAAAGGATGAGTAGGTGGAAAGAGAACAAAACCAGGAAGTGTTCTTGGGTTTCCTGCAGAGGCACAATTCACAGGATTTAATCATTTTCACTGCTTTTTTAAAAGGGCCACATAAACACATGTGTGGGTGCTAAGTGACTTGTTTATGATATTTAACTAATTTATAACTAATTAAACTAATTTAAATGTGATTTTTCTTATTGCAGCAATTGTTTTCATTTTATTTTGTTGCTCATTTTAGTTTAGTCTAAATCCAAGGACTGTCTCACACATTAAATTTCTCACTCCTTTTGTGTGTTACCATATTACCTGTGTGTAGCTGATGTAGAGAGACACCAGTGAGGAGTGGATGATCTCTCCATACATGTGGGCAGCTTGGCCCTCCCAGCCCCTGATTGGCTGTTGGGAGTATATCCTTTGGTGGAGCTCATCTCTGCTCTTTCCCCACAGCACCACCTAGAGACACAAAAATATATCACCCCATGTCTGTGGCTCATTTCATGTGTCTTATTTTTGTCTGTCTTTGACAGCAGTGTTAAAAGATGCAAGATTTTCTCTTAAATAGAGAGAATTAATTTTCTAGTGGGTGGCCATTTCCCCCTTCCCACTGTCTCGTATCACTGTATTTATTTATAGTCAGTATTAACACATTGGCACATGTTCCACAGAGTCATGCATTACACAGCAAACCTGAATGTATTTCACCATTGCAAGGCTTGAATCACTGTCTTTAGGCAAACTTTGTGTCTGTCTTTAGGGAACAAATACAGAGGTAAAGTGTAAGAGTTGAATCAAGTCTGAGAACAAAGCTGTGTCTAGCAATGTTTCCTCTCTTGTATATTTCCTGTAAAGTTTGAATCACACCAAAGGGGAATGCAGAATATGTCACCGTTGCATTGGAAATTCCTACAGCACACGAGGTCTCGTCTCACCCCGGCTGAGCACTACAAGTGTTAATTCAGACTCAACCACACAGCATGCTCTGACCTTGAAAAGTGCACGATCAAAGTGTCAAGATGTTTATTTGTCAAGTACACAGCACACACACATAGCAACCTCTTGTTCCAGGTGTGGTATTGAAGGTCTGCGTGGTGGCTGGGGCTGCTCGTCTCTGCTGTTCCTCACAGACAGCTGAAGTCTGGTTTCTCCCAGGCTCCACACACTGAAAACAAACACGCACTCTTGCTCAGTGAAGGTACAAACACTTTAATGCATTAGTCATAACTGTACTGACAATTAGCATACATGCCAAAATGGTCGATTTTTGAGTATAGTCATGCAGAGCTGAAAGGAAGTAGATATGATTTCATATTATTGTTTGAGAAGTAAGTTAAATTTTGACTTTGGACCATTCACATTTTAACATAATTCTAATTTATCTAATACTGGGCCATGAAACAATTGAACAATTTGTGCCTGTTATGGCCATAAGAGGGTTATCCTCTCTCTTAGAGCAGGCTGACTACTTGTATTTGTAGGAAAATAATAATAGGTCCTTGTAATTGAAATATACAATAGTTTTTAAGAACATTGTAAAATGGCTAAGCACAAGCATTGTCCACATTGCCAGAAATTTAAATCAATGTATAAATATATGTTTGATAGATTGATTGAGGGGGAGCATTAAGCTACAAGAGGTGTTTTCAGTATAGATATTTTTGTATGTTTTACATAATGTTGTTATATAATGTATTAAACCTACCCAGGAACTAGCTAACTATATGACTGAGCTATAAATGTGTGATAGGGTCGGAGTTCATAAGTGTTGGTTCCTCCTGCTCATTTTTGAGCACTAGAGGACTTTATTTTTCTTCATGTATATGCTCTATTTAGTTCTATTTTGTATATATGACCACATGCTTGAAAACCGTCAATCAATCAAAACTCATTTTCTGAGAAACATATCAAATGACTGAGGCAGGTGGTATAACCATATATAACATATAACCACATAATGCTGGCCTGGTATGGCCACAGTATAGACACCTTCTAAAGGCTGTTTCCGGCAGGATGACATGCCATAATACAAAGTTTAAACAGGTTTCTTGAACACAACAATGACTTCACACACAGTTCAACTTCACATTTTATATTATGATTGTGTAATATAATCACTGAGTGCATTCAAGAAGCCATGTAAATAAACCTGGAACTCTGAAACAACACAAAAACAATCATGGCTGGGGACATAAAGTCAAGTTTAATAATAAACTGACTTGAAGTTGTTATTACTGTTAGATATTTACTGATCTAACTCATCTGGTGATTAAAGGTTATAGCTGTTTTTGTTATTATCATACTCTTATCATACTAGTGACGGCACTAGTTAAGCAGGTTCTCCTGAAATTGCATTATTTTCTTGTATATAAACAAGGTCAGCATCAGTATACTGAGCCAGTCAGTAGCTAGCAAGCGCACATTCTAAGACATCTTTGAAACACACACTTTTGTGTGTGTTATGAAATACAAACATAAGTGGCTTGCCTGATAAGCAGTTATAATTAAAGAGCTACACATAAGGAGCAGAAGCTCCTGCAGTGATTAGCTTCTGCTAATCCCCCAGCCTTTGAATGAGAGGGGATTTGTCCCGCCCTTACTCTGTATTAAACCCCTCCATGCTTCAACCATTGTCTTATAGTAATCTGCTAATCACATCAGTGCAGCATCACTGAGCACCCAAGTTCATGTTGAGTAAATAGGAGCCAATTAGCTCTCCTGTCTTGTGTCTCCATGAGGTGCTGATGGGCAGAAATCGAACGCGTGTCATTGGTTGTTCTGCAGTTTTTGTTTTCTTTTTCTTGTTGGATTTAAATCCAGTTTTAAAGTTTAAAGTGCTCTGTGTGACAACACATCCTGTTACTGTAAAGCCAAGCATGTAGTGTGTGTGGTATATCCTGTACATGATAACACTGAATATGCTGCAGTGCTGAAAAGGATTATGCTTGCGTTTTACATTATCACCTTAAAAATGTCAAGAATGAAATGCCACAGAAAACCGCATGTGTTGAAAGAGAAGCAGCTCTCTTTTCACTTTACAGCCTGCCACCGCTTCCTCCAAAACACAGAAAAACCACATTTAAAGTGACTTTAGAGATACACTCAAAAAAATACTGAGTGAAATTCACACGTTGCCGTTCTGTTAACTGTTATTTATATATATATATATATATATATTTATATAGTTAACTTTTTGTTGCAGGATCAAAATACAGTGAAATAAAATTGTTTGTTTTATTTTTGAACAGCTCCTAGCTTCAAACACTAATCTTGCATTTGTGTCTTACCCTAAATTGTCTCCAGAGAGTTCCAGGAGCTCAATCTCATCAGGGCCCACCTCGTCCACTCCAGTATGCCTCTGGGTCACACTGCAGCATCCCATGACGGAGAAGGAGTCTGTCCCTCTTTACCTCGTCTCAGCTTCTGTTCCACACACTGAGCACCATCTGTCTAGACAATCATCCAAACAGTTTGTGCGTGCCTCATTAAAACCAAAGAGATAGCAAAAAAAATTGGGGGGGGGGTTTAGAAGAGGATATTGTGCACAGGAGCAGGGGATGAGGAGGCGGTGTGCTGCTAAGCTCTAGTTCCCCCTTTTTGCCAGCATTCAGTGTGTATTTCCACAGAGCCCTGAAAACAAAAAGCTTTTGAAGAGGAATTGAAGACAAAAGTGGCAGGTTTTTGTTGAATCGCAGCGTAGTAGTTGTTCCTTCCTTCCTGTCAGTTGGCCGTCGGCAGATGACTGAGCAGCTTCCTATTTTACACTCTGAACTTACGCTGGGAACCTGCTGATGTATCAACATGATAAATAAAAACTGTTTTGTCACAAAAAGACGAGCCGACCAGATGAAGGTCAAAAACTATCATACCTCCTGAAGTTGATAAGACAAGCTCCCTCCTTGTTGTGAAACGTGTGGATGAAGCAGTTATCTTATTGGGAAAGATGGGGCCATGCCTGTCTAGTTTACATGCGCTGAACTTGACTCTGAGTAGCCAAGAGAGATAATTATGAGTTATGACACAGAGAGGTAAAGGGCTGCAGTCAAAACAAGCTACAACAACTGTAGAGTGGAGCCTCTCGTTGATCTTCCTGGTTAAAGTTGCAGTAAGGTGGTGGGAGGGTTTGCACACAATCACGTCTGAGTGACTTTCCACAGATCAGAAGCTGCTCTGCTGATGCAACTTCATGTCAGATGACTCACTGATGCATTTTCTACCAGACCCTTTGATTTGAGAATGAATGTTGTATGCATGCACTAACAAAGAAAAATGACTTTGACATGGGTTCTCTTCGCCACACCTTCCTTACCAAACAGGACAAAAAAAAGAAGCCAGAAGATATTGTTGATGATGAATACATTCTTTATTGACGCATTTTCCAGAGTATTTCTCTTAAAATCTTTAAAAAGCACCAAAGGCTTTTTATACCGCAGCTGTCTGCATACTGTCACAGTTCCTCTTTTCTTTTCTACACTAAACTCTTCATATCCTAAATTGTTCCACATGTTCAATACTGTAAGGTACGGTGTTCCAGGAGAGCCACAGACAGGTAGAGCTTCACTCACTCAGAGCTAGTGATGACGGGGATGTGATGGTCATTTCCAGCCTTTAAATGATGATTCAAAGTACTTTTGCTTAGCTTGAGTTTAGCTGTATAATGTGAATTCCCTGACTCACGATGATTTTGTGAAGTGCTGGTGGGACGGTGGCCACTCATCGACCTGCTCCTTCGTTTTGGAAGTGCTGAATCATTTGCAGAATTATCAGGGGGTGCCGAGGGAACACTTTTTTCCTCTGTTCCACACATAAACCTTCTGGGTTCAGTTTTCTGAGCATCTTTGGTATTTTTCTGCAATTCCATGCTAGACTTCTCTGTAGTGGAAAAAGCACTATAGAGAAGCACAAACTCCCTCTGACTGACCAAAGGAAAAATTTTCTGCCTGCCACGAATCTTCCTGAAGATCTCCAGAGTCAAATCTAGAGAAGGGCATAAAACAACAGACAGACTTAAAGATAGAAAAAACACTTTTAGGTGTTACAACACATCAGCCTGTTTAGCAAACATGTGCAATAAAGGGAACTGTGACTATGCCAGTTAAACACTAAACAAAATGTGAGAACATCTTTGGTGGAGTGGTATTAATACAAACATATGCTGAATTTGAATTTGGGGCTTGCGAAACGTGCTGTTTGTTTTTCCAGAACTCACCTAGTGTCTCCACAACCACGCTGGGTATCACCTCCTTTAGCACCTCACAGTTCGTATGGAGAGCTGGATTGCAGTTCATCTCCAGCAGCCACACCTATCAGGAATGCACACACTCAATGCACATGCTAAACACTGTTTGCATTCACATTACCAGAAATGTCCTACCCACTTTGAAGTCTTCATCGACCAAGAAGTCACAGCCGATCAAGTCAAAGAACCCCAGGCGGCAGTCTAACTTTGACTTGACTGCTAAGAAGCACTGGCTCATGATCTGCTGCATGCGCTTCTGAATATCAGGGAGAAAGAAAGTTGTTCATTAGGCATCAGAATGATTTTATGACTTTTGTATTACCGGCTGGTTTGTTTCACTTCAACTAATTAAAGTTCCTCACTACTGCATATAGCTCAAGCTTCATTTAAGTCAAAGAAATGTGTGTGAATGTGGTGCTGTGTGTGTGTGTGTGCGTTGTGTGTGTGTGGTGTGTGTGTGTGGTGTGTGTGTGTGTGTGTGTGTGTGTGGTGTCGTGTTGACACAACGCCAAAAATGAACTGACCAATCTGCAGGGCACTGTAAAAAAAAACAACCCATCACATGTAACATCTCATTTTAGTGATGAGATGATGCATCCAAAACTTAACCACAATCTCAATTAGCTGCATGTGCCAGTAACCATCATTATAATTGTAATTGGTCCCTGAGAGCTACAACACTGCACTCACTGCAAAGGCGCCCAGCACCCAGTCCCTGGGCAGATCCTTTGCAGCCTGAAACCTGTCGTTGACGTAGGCGTTGAAGCTCTCCATGGACCACACAGTGTCTTCCTTCAATTGGCTGTAAAGAGGGTTCTTCTTCTGCATGTACTGGAAACGAACAGCAGGGGGACCAGAGACACACGAAGATGTGAGCAGAGGCAGGTAGCAAGTTTGTGCCAAAACAAAAAGCTTGATCTGGAAATAATGAAGACATGTAGCGTAAAAAAAGACAGACATGAGTGTCCCTCTAGCAATAATTTTCCAGCTGAAACATGTTTAGCATCTTTAATATCTGATGTGCACATAAAATTCACCACCGAAAGTAAAACCTAAACTAATGTGTGATTCAAGCTAAAATACAAAATAAACCAAGGTTAAAATCCTTTGCTAGTTTAATGGTTCAATTACAGTGATTTGTGTTTTTTGCTAAATGTAGACAATAAAGTGAATCTGAATCTGATCTGGTCTGTCTGTGGAAATGCTTGTAAATAACATTTCAAAGACATACCGCTCTAGTTAAAACAGTGATGATGTAAAGTGTAATTTTGGTTTATATTCCTAAATACACATTTCTGCTATAGCCAGGACTCATTTCTTAGCGTATACGGAAGATGGCACATTGTTTCAGGACACGTTTAGCCTTGTTACAAGGTCCACTGGAAGGACCTGCTTTCTAACTGCTTCCCCCATTCACCACATTTTTTAACAGCTGTCTGATTTCCAAGCAGATGATTGTAAAACCGTTTAGACTTTGATCTTCCAGTTAACCCTTCATATTCTCGCAGAGTCTATCTAGATTAGGGGTCTACCTGGTTGGTCAGGTGGGCAGAAAGGTTCTTGGAGGTGGGGTCATAGAGGTCACAAGTCAGTCGCACGTAACCATGACGGAAAAAGACCACATAAGGTGCAGTGCATGCGATGAGAAGGTAGGAGCGCACGTCAAACTTTTTCCCTTTCAGCAGCAGCGGGTTCTGGATGTAACTGAGGACAAATCGTAGGTCTGCATTCAATCGCACAAACACCTTCAAAGGCTGCTTTTGACAGCAAGAAGCTGAAGCTGACAGTAAGAAATGAATGACAGATGGTTGACTAAACAACCTGTAGTACAACAGAATTGTTTTTATGGTTCCTCATCATTGGCTGCTGTTACTTCTGTTCATGTTATTTTAGAACAGCACTGCAAAATGACAACTGAATCAGAGACCCAAAACTAAAGGTTTTTTGAAGCCTGTTGATGCTTTTAAAACCATGTGCCAATACTAAAAACCAGGAATAGCAGGCACTCAAGCTACAAAAATAGAATAATATGCCTGCTTCTCTGGGAACTGCAAGTGTGGGTGATATTAATCTTAACATCCTGTGTTCACCAACTGTTGAACGATGTAAGCCTGAGGCTGGCGGTAATGCATTTTCCTGTTGAACTGGCAGTCCTCCATGTGCTTCAGCTTCAGTCTGAAGGCAGCTATGTCCTCCTTGCTCTTCAAAAGGAAGATCCCTCTTCCCTGGTTCATACCCGTAGGCTTACAGATCCACATGCGGCTCTCCCTGTTGCTCACACCTGGCGACAGTGACAAAATTAAATTAATGGGGTGTCACAGGAACTGAGCTTTCCACCTGACAGTTTCCTTTTCTGTATTGTTTTTAACTTTTCAAGGCTTAATCCTGTATTGAGGCATTTGTCATTTTCACCAGTAAAATCTGATTCCGTGAAATCGTGCTTTAGTTGCACTCAAGCACAGTTGTGGGAAAACTGGATTGCACCCAAGTGTCTTGTATTTACTTTTCACCTCTTTAGCAAATATTTAAATCTGAAATGTGAGTCGGAGTATTTCCTTTTTTTTCTACATATTGTAGTGGAATATGATCTCTAGGCCACTACATGTCATATCATTATGAAAATAAAGACGTAAAAAACCTCAGAACATATTGTGAACTGCAGTCAATAAAAATTATGATGCAAAATTTCAATTTCTAGTTTTTTTAAAAACAGTCAATACGCTGTTTTAAAAGTGATGCCAGCATCGACTGTCTTTAAACGCACGTCTATTAGAGTTGGTTCTGTCCTTTTTCCTTCTTTTCCACAAATTCATCCATCACCAACAGATCTAAAGCAGCTGTCTGTATTCTTGTCCTGTTTACTTAGTGATAAACGTGTTTGTCAAAACCCGTTTGTCAAAACCCGTGCACAACTACTGTCATTATGCTGGGTGCCTGTAATTACTACAGTGGGTGTTAAAAATCTATTTCATCCTCAATGCTTACCATGAAAAATGTCAACTTTAATATTAAATGTATTTTCTTTGGCATTCACATCCTGCTGCACCTCTCTCCTTGTGTTTGTGTCTCAGCCCTGCCCTCTGCTGACTCATCTCTATGGCAACAGCATGTTCCCCTGGTGATTTTATCAGGGCCTTATGGGAGGTGAAGTGCATTATTTTCCAGCGTCCACAGCCTCTTGATTAAACACTCACCAAGGCGACTGTTGTCTTAACGCTACGCAGGACAAACGATTTTCTTTCTTTTCAATGTTGGATGCGTGACCCAACATGCATTTCAAGTTTAATTGATCTCATTTTAAACCTGCAAACTAAAGGATGTTCCAGTTCAACCAGTACTGTTATTGTTGCATCAAAATGCTAATGTGTAAAAGGTTGTTGTAGTTAGGTAAGATGTCAGTTACCCTCCTGTTGGGCAAAGAAAGCCTCTCTCTCTTCCCTCACATCCATGCGCAAAGTAGTGGGTACGAACTCTTCCATTTTCAGCCTCCTGTAAATTACAACAGAACAAAACGAACAAGGAAGCCCACATGGATGTCAGTGCCATGGATTGCGGGAAAACTGGCTTTGAGGCAAAAAAGAAAGTCAGGCCACAAACATACAAAATCTTTGGTGTACCACAGCAACATTCATATGTTCTGTTCATCCATCGTTTTCGGAATATGTTCAGATTTATTCCAAACCCCAGTCATACCATAATTTCAAAGCCTTAAGTCAAGCTTTACATATATGCAAATTGATTTTTCTGAAGAACTGAAGGAAGTTTGTAATAAAAAAAAGATCTAAAAACACACACATAGTCTAAAATATAGCATATTTCCTGCTATATACTGGTATAATAGTCCATTATTGCATATCTTCACTAGCACTGAAACATTTTCCAGCATTAGTATAAAATTCCACTTATATACTTTTAATTCTGTTTGTAGAAACTGAAGTACTCTAATCTTAATATTTGTAACTATAAATTCACATAATCACATTAAAAGCTGAACAGCTGGTTAAAATAACTCAGTGTTCATAGTTTTTATCTCTAAAGTGTGATATCTCTAAAATGAGGAACATCATATCTCAGAGCGATGCTGGAAACTAATTCATGCATTTATTACTTTTTAGGATAGACTATTATTATAATCAAGCTGTTCTAAAAACTTCCTGACAAGCTTACAGTTGATCCAAAATGCTGCAGTAAGAGCGCACACAGTGACTAGAAAGAGAGGGCATATTTCTCCCATATTGGCTTTTCTTCATTGGCTCCCTGTTAAATCCAGAATCAAATTTAAAATCCTTCTTCTCACATACAAGGTATTCATTAATCAGGCCTCTCTTAAAGACCTCATAGTACCGAATCAGTCCAATAGAGCACTGCGTGCTACGACTGGAGGCTTACTTGTGGTCCCTTCGGATATTTAAATGTAGAATGGGAGATAGAGTTTTCAGCTTTCAGGCACCTTCTGTGGAACCAGCTCCCAGTTCGGATTTGGAAGACAAACCCTTTCTCTAATTTTAGGATTATGCTTAAAACTTTACTTTTTTGATAAACTTTACAGTGAGAACTGGATCAGGTGAGCCTGAATCCTCCCTTGGTTATGCTCCAATAGGCCTATGCTGCTGAGGCTTCCCATGATCGACTGAGTGTTTCTTCTTCACTCACTATGTGTTTATACTCCTCTGTATTTAATCTTTAGTTATTATTAACTCTTCCACAGTGTGTCTTTTGTCCTGTCTTCCTCCCCTCACACCCTACCAGTCGCAGCAGATAGCCGCCCCTCCCTGAGCCTGGTTCAGCCGGAGCTTTCTTCACGCCAAAGAGAGTTTCCCCTACTATCGTTGAAGCGCTTGCTCATATGATTGTTGGGGTTTTCTCTGTATTATTATAGGGTCTTTACCTTACAATATAAAGTGTTTTGAGGTGACTGTTGCTGTAATTTGTTGCAATATAAATAAAATTGAATTGAATTGAACTTACAGAACTAAGCTTGATACAGAGGCCTCTGCGATGCACACTGATAGCTCTACAGATGCAGTAAAATAAAAAAAACAAAAAAATAAAAAATGTATTGCATGTTTAAGAAACTGTTAGCTTTGTCCTTCTTTAGCTCCAGTTTTGGGGGGCAATGGTTGGGAGACTTTTTTCCTTTTCATACATGTTTTCCTTCCTACCAAAGATAAAGTATCCATCTGTACATGACGTCATTTACCATAAAAATTAGGTTAGTATCAGAGTTTACATCTAATACTTCCTGCTCTGACACAGATGTTTGCACAATAACTTTGCGTCGCATTCAGCATATCCCAATTATGAAAGTGAAGTACATTTTTAATGTTTGTGACTATAAGTGAAGCTTTTTTTAACTGCATGTTTCTATGAGCGTATGGTTCTGTTTTTAAAACTATTGTATTTCCTTGCCGAGTATGACGTAAAAAAAAAAATCAGGTTGTAAAATCAAACTAATTTACTATTAATAATTAACCACAGATCCAGCATATAACTGTGACACAAAGCTTCTGTGATTCAATGGAGAGGCTAGATATCTGATGAGGTTACTTGGCGTGTTTATTAAATAGTTTCACAGGCTGATATGGTTTTAAATCATTATTTACAGAGTGGGGCTTCTATTGAGCCACAGTAATCGTACCGGATAGAAGCTGGGAGATTTGACACAGCTGCAAAATTTGGTAACAGAGATATACCTGTCTGCTTTTAAGAGAAACAACCATTTTGGATACGAGAGAGAGACAAAGACAAAGAAAGGAAAATAAATGTCCAGCTCACCTAAGTGCTTGACCATGGCTGACTCTGCTGCTCACTCGCTCGTACTGTTGAAGACTGCTGAGGAGACCAATCTTCGTGGTGAGCACCTTGTTATTGGGAATCTGGTACATCAACTGCCTGCCTGGGAACAAAAAATGAGGATTTTGAAATATTAGTTAGTTAGCATGTCAACTTTTAGTTCTGTCTCTTAAGCTAAGCAACAAAAATTGCATATTTTCGTCGTAAACCAGCTCCAGGTGATATCCTCTGCATTCCCACTACCTTCTCTGAAGTTGGAGTATTGGGCTGGTGATTTGGTCTCGCACCACTTGAGATTGAAATCCTCCCTGTCCTTGTTGTAAATCCTCTTCCATCCTCTGCTCTCACAGTAATTGCTCACTCTGAAGGAAAAGTCCCAGAGGAAATCACTTAGACTTTAATCACACCACAAACAAGAAGTAAGGGGTCACATTAGAAAAGCTTTAGACTGACAAAAGGCCCCAAATAAAATACATACCATGCTATTTTTTATTCAAGCATCACACCATACATTTGTCCACAACAGTTACTTTGAAATTAAATAATTCATACTAACATTTTAGCTCCGTTGGGTCCTCCAAAAAAGTAAAAAGGCCCAGGCCCCCTCGGCTCCTCTATCTGCCTGCCTGACAAATCCTTTAACTTGGACCTCTGGACGGGTTGTGCCATTATACATGGACCTGATACACAAACACAACACATTACCGATTCATTTCTTTACAACAGAAAGGCAGAAGAAATTAATTCTATTCTATTCCGGGGAATATTTAAGTTGTTTGACTTATAGTGTTTTTATTTTATTAGATTAAAATGTGCAGACTTGCATTTTTGTGTGCTAAAATAAAAATCACCCTATGGACAGAATTTAAAATAAGGCGCCCTCTTTACTCCACACACACCTCCACTTTGGCTCTCCTGGTTGACAGACGATTGGGAAAATGTCTGTCTCTCTTTCAAAGTCTGTGTCTGTGGCGGCAGTGTCTGTTCTCTTCCTGGTCCTTCCTTCCTCAGACTTCCTGCAGGCCGGCTGCTTCCACAGGGAACTTCTGTTTCCTCCTTTTCTTGGCCTCGCTTCTTCTCCAGTCTGGACTCTGCTGCATCCTGACCATAACTGCAGGGATCCACGGAGCACTTTGATGACATCTCTTTGCTCTGGCGAAGGTCGCTGGGGTAATTTATTATTGATCCATAATTAGAAAGTGGGAGGAGCTCTTTTGATTCACAGTGATCCTGTTGGCATAAAGAGCGGAACAAGAGGAAAAGTACTACTGTAGAGTACGCTTCATTCATAGTATTTTCCCTGTTTCGTATGTGCATATTTTTTACTACTATATTATTTGAGCATCACACTGTTCATACTTCAAACAGGTTCATAATGGCAGAGAATAACTCTTATTAATAAATACTCTTCCTGAAGTGCATTTTAATTACGTATCAGCCCAAACTGCCAATTTAACTTCAATTTGTCAGTGTTGCTCTTTTAAAGTGATCTCCCTCCAAAAGCTTACAATATGATGACATGTGAAGTTTAATGTGCCTAATTATGTTATGCTGAAATTGCAGCACCATGTCACTGGTATTCTAGAAAATGGTGAATAAAGAAAAAAAATGAAGTAAGCGTACCTAGGTGGCCTGCTTCCTGTACCAACAGCATGTAATGTATGTATGTATGTATGTATCTTTATTTATTTCAGACATAATAAAACAAACAAACAAAAAAAACAAAAAACAATATATACTCGTCTACATGTATTTTCATTTACAGATACGAATATATGTGTAGATACACACACACACACACACGTATTTGTACAGACAAACAAGAAAGAAATATAATAAAATAAAACACATTCGTCTAACATGAGATAACAGTTGTTTGGTCTGAAAAGGAGTAGGAAGAAGTATGCACATACTTATTAACTCCTACCCCTGCTCAACATCTTATTAATCCCACATATTTAACTAATTCTCCTCTCCTCATGTAATCAGGCTGGTATGCTGATCTAGTATGCAAATAGTAGCAGTGGAAATGTGATAAATAGTTGTATGGCTTTACCGTTTGCTGTGGTTTAATAAGAAATTAGCTCTGTTAGTCCTTTTACTGTTGTTTTGTGTGAGTAACATAAATGTACGTAGGTATTTATGTTGGAAACCAGGAGCAGAACTACTACAGCTATTCAAAAGTAAAACGGTTTACCTGCAACTACAGCTTCACACACACAGACATCAGGGCTCCCTGAAAAACTTGTCAGCTTACTCTTCTTCTGCCAAGTGCACTCAACCTTATAGTCCAACTGCAGGGCCAAGACAAACAGTTAAACCCACAGACTGAAGGACAGACTCGACAGGGGCACAATCACATGGTCTGTCTGCAGTTTAGTCTAAAGTTAGCCACAGTATCGCACAATGAAAGCAAGAAAACCAACTAGTAATGTAAACAATCACCAGTTACTCGGGTAATGGGACCCTTGGCAACAGTTGCTACTTGTAGATTGAATCTTACAACACAAACTAACAAGTCAAGATTGTGTATCCCACACCAACCGGACCTCTAAGTTTAGCTTCATTCATTATTTATTGTCCGTAAGCCTCTATTGTGTGGACCCTATGGTAACATGAGAGCACTGTGTCAATCAAAATGGATTTGCCAGTTTTCCAGGGTGGCCTGGTAGGTAAAATAGTGTTCTCAACTGGCTCAGTGTCATTAACATCTAAAAGAAATCATTTCAGGGGACTTGTTTGCTTTAGATACACCGGTCTCCAGCTTTTACACTGGGTTGTCTGTAGGACAGGAGGTAGAGCAGGTCATCTGCTAATCTGAAGACTGGTGGCTTGAGCTCTGGCTACTCCAGTCTGGCCAAAGTGTAACTTGGGTCAAATTTGCGTGTGTGAATAATAGATAGCAACCGTTAAGATGTAGAAGAATAAAGTGCTTATATCAATGGGTGAATAAGTACTAAGTAAGTGCTATACAAGACATCGTCCTAACTGTGGCCTACCCTATGTCTTTAGGTCCAGTTTACACAATTCAAGTTAGAAATCTAAGTAATAAAAATAAACCCAAGTGTCCCATTAAACTATGACATAATTTAATGTGAACATTAATTTATTGTAAAACTACTTCATCCAAGGCGAATCGTTCTTGATACTTCCAGACATCATCATTAATCATAAAGTCTAGCGCCAAATCCAGCAGCAGGTATGCAGTTGAGCAACATAGCATTAGTCTGCTCGCATGGCAAATCCACTAATCACCTTCTGTCTCAGTGATTTGACTCTGGGGGAAACACCCAGGCCCAGCTATGGCTGGCAATTATGCATAATCTTCTCTCTTCCTCCAAACAGCCTGATAATTGACAGGGGTGGGTACCTTTTAGACCCAGCACACATGCAACCATATAATTACACATACAGAGGGGCAACCACGAGCAACATAAGCACACTGTGAGCAGCCATATGGACCAAAGTATTGTGCCTTTTAGAGCATACATCAAGTTTGGTTTGACTTACCATCTGTAACCTGATAAAAGGACAACCAAACTGTGAGTCAGCGGGATTTTGGCTCTATTGATCTGGTTTGTTTTTTTGCATCACAATTATCCTCAGTGATAAATCAAATGTAAAAGAAGGAAGTTGCCAGTCTGATCAGTTGAGTTATTTATACACATATGGCTGTAAAAGTGTAAATGCCCAAGTGCAAAATACTAGCTATAAGAGGGAGCTGCTTGGCAATGAAACTAGTCCAGCCACAACACCCCAGTTGTTACAAGGAGGCCTCCCATATTCTTGTTTAACAGAGCTTTGTGTGGAGCCAGTGTGAGCCACACCTTGATAAAGAGCCGCCATCTGATAGACACACTGTGCAAAGTGCTGCGTAGGTGGACAAAGAGAACAGGCTTGTTTTACAACCTCATGGTTCACCATCTGCTAAGAGACTGTGTACATTTGTGTGTCTGTGTGTGTGTCTGTGTGTGTGCTCATATATGAATTTTAGTGAATAAACTTGTGTATTTAATGTCACCATCCCTTTTTTAAATCCTGTCTTTCATTATTTATACCTGAATTCATATCTTTCCTTTGACCTCCATTTGTTAGTAAAGGGTGTGGGAAATATGACACTTTTTACTTTTCCTTTCTTTTTCTTTCCATTAAGGTAGTTTAACTTTCTGTGGGTGGTGCGCCGCTGATACTCATACTCCTGGGCCTTATTGTAAGAAAAAAAAACACACACACATCAGATAGAATATGCCAGAAAGACAGTGGGTTAGTGAATTTAAAATACAGGAATATATCGTTAGGTGTGTGTGACTCTTAGTGACTGTCCTAGCTTGGGGCAGTGACAACTTAAGTTTTGTGTTTCTTTGAAGGCTCACCTATTCCCATGTCATCTCAACTGACTCAAACCAGGAAGTGCGCCGCAATTACAGGGATGCACCCTGCAGCAATGGTGTCCCCACACAACCCATTATTTAGAGGGATTCTCCTTGTCAAGGTGTTATAGCGGAAGAAATGGAGTTGAGTTACGATGCAAAGAAAAGCTTGTCTGAATAGGGTCTCTCGCGCTCGCTGCTGCTATTCATGATTTCCTTACAGGATTACAGCAGCAGAGCACAGGGGGCTGTAGTATCGAGGGGCGACACTGCGTTCCCAGGGTCGATATCTACTTGTTCCCTCTGGTGACAAGTACAACACGGAAACAGAAAGACATCGAATTTCACAGAGAATAACAATGATATGGGAAAATGTGCAAGTGGAAATGTCCATTTTGTCCTTTGTTCTGAAACAGCCGTGTAACAAGCATGAACACGTGTTGCCTATATTGCTTTTACTTGTTAGTAAGTAAGAGTGCTATAAGTGTAAGAGTCACAATACAATTTTGTACAAACTTGATGATTCAGTCCTACCTCTTACATAAGAAGATCAAAATGTAGGATGATAAGAATATGTGTATTTGACTGGTTGTTGTTGTTGTTCCCTTTACTATGGTGAGTGATGTCATGTGCAGCGGAGTGAGGTGGAGAGCTGCATTAGGCATGAGAGCATGCAGTTTTTTTTATTTATAATAATAATAATGTATACTTTATTGATCCCTGTGGGGAAATTCCTCTCTGCATTTAACCCATTCACTCAGTGAAGCAGTGCAACAATGTAACAATGTAATTTTGATTATTTCAAAGTAAAAGTTTTAAAACTTAATTAGCTCTCCTGTCATATGCATCAGACCTAAGTTACTGTGCGTGCAGTTCCAGAGTGCCTTGTTTAGAGATTTAGAAGGAATCTCCAAAGAATTCCAAGTTCGGAAACATAAGGTATAAAAAATTGTTAATTGTGTTGGTTACACCCTTTAAAGCTATGAGAAGACACAGGAGGACACCGCTTGATTTTTAAATGGAAAATGACTCATAAATAAAAACAAAAATCTTTGACAAGAACATGACAGTACTTGTTATGTTATCCTTTTATATTTCACATTGTTGCTACTAGCAAAAGCTAAAGAACAGCAACTTCTAGTTTAAGCAGCTAGATTCATTCATTTGGTATATTTGAATCTAAATTCTGTCACGTTGTGAAAACGAAAATCTAGCTGAGAGGCTACCAACTAATGTTACTTGGTTCATGACATTTAAAAGATTTGATTATTAAAACCCAACATTAAGAAATTAAATCTTCTAGCTATAACTGAACAAGCTAACATTAGCGTCATGAACTATTTATTATTAAGTAAACCTTAACAATTATTTTTGCAATGTTTTGGGGGTTAAAGCATATCTGTGCGAGTCAGACTTTATCAACAGTCTGAGAAAAAAGTGACAAACAAACAAACAGCTGCTGCTATAGGCTAACATACAGATAGTTTCACTGTGAGTGTTTTATTTTTTTAATGTGCAAATTATGGAAGCTTGGGTACAATTTTTGGTTGCTGCTTTAAAGTTTTGTTCGGTATCTCAAAATTTCAACTTGGAAGTAAATTCAAAAATATTCACCTCTAAATCTTTAGAAAATACAGTGGTCTCTCGCTATAACGCGGTTCACCTTTCGTGGCCTCACAGTTTCACAGATTTTTTTTTTTAAATTTTGCATGCTTTTTCTAAAAAAAAATAAAAAAATTATTACAGCTGTGTTCTGCATGCTGATCAGCTGTAGACCATTTCTACCAGCCACATTTTTGTGGCTGGTATACGGTAGTGGTGTTGTGGCAAAAATAAGCTTCCACACCTGAAACTGCCAAAATTTCCACCTACAAACTTACCGCTTCTCGTTACGGTCCGACTTTCCTTTCTTCTGAGCTGTTGCTGTAATTACTTTCTTGCCCACAGGAGGCGCAAGTTTAATGTTTACTGCAGCACCAACAGTTGTACATATTAGCTGTCAGGCTTTCAGATGACTTCAGAAGCTTAACGTTAACTGACACCAGGCGCTTTTCTTTGTCCAGCAGACAACCTGTAACTACCAGAGCTTCTGATAGCTTCTGTACAACTTGACTATGTTATGGCGTGCTCCTGTAGTATTTATTATGTTCCTCCATGTTAAACTAAGTTAGCTAAAAGTTGTTAGCTAGCTAAGTAAAATATGTGTGTTCACAGCAGTGTATTTTGTGAATTTGCCCTGCAGCAGTATCCAAATTATGTAAGTTTGATTTGTTCTTAATAACAAAGAATATTTTATGGTCGAACAGACCAATACTAATGTTTGCATGCTAAATAGCTACTTAACTTTTGAATAAGAGGAGGTAGAAAATTATTTTTCATCAGCTTTTGAAGTAAAATGACAATGTGCTCAATAATAATAATAATAAAAAATTAAGGTATATCATACATCATTTAATCACACACTCAACATTTTGTGTTTCTCAATGATAGGAAAAACAAAAAAGCAGTATCAGAGATGTCCTGTCAGAGATATCCTGAGTAAGTAACGAAGTTAAAGCTATTTTGTGTTAGTTATTTACCTTCTATGGACCTGCAAACTCCATGCAGGTATGTACGGTGTGTGATAAGTCTGTCACATCTTATATGTCTTTATCTGCGTTCTTCAAACGCTGACCTGACAGTAAATGACTGATTACATTGCTGCTAAATTATGAATCGAATCTTTGTAAAAGCTACGATTATCCTGTCTTTAATGCGTTTTAGAATTAACCAAACAAAGATTGTATAGTTTATGAAATAGATAGATGAAAAGATACTCCTCAGTGTTTCTAATGAAGGCATTTGCTCACAAATTGCAGCTTGTTGCTGATAAAAACAAAAACAGTGAAAGCGAGTATTTCTCACATGGATTAAATAAGATATTTCCTATAATCTAGCAATGCTTCTACCAAAACCTGTAATCAGCTCCACACCTTGATACACTCGAGTGTGCCAGCTTTTTACTCTTACTGTGCGTCAGCACGTGCAGGTATGTCACAGCCGTTTAGCTGCCGTTGTGCTCCTGTTCCACTCCAGTGGATAACCCAGCTAAGTGAGTCTAGACTTCTCATCCACAGCCAACACTAATACAGGAATCTGGTTTGACTGCAGTAAGCATGCACAGACCAGCGCAGGAATTCTTTACAGGCCCTCCGCCAGTTAGTAATGTGATTCAGCGGTGAGACGTCACAAAGGGAGGAGCTAACTACAGCAGTAATTGTACTTAAAGTCTTAAATTAATTATTTCTGACACATTTTAACTCCGTGTCTTTAAGTTCAGTCTAAACCACCAATAAGCTAAGAGCTAAAAGACTTGCAGCTTGTGGAGGGACAAAATGATATGTAGGTGGAGCATACATACGCTGTCATAATGGTTTAAAATGATAGTCATTTCAAAATTGTGCTTCCTTTCATATTAGTTTACCAGCTCACATAGAAATGTCACACTCTTGATTTGTTTGTTTCCCCATCATTTAAAAAAAAGCATATTGGTAATGTTTAGGAGCATTAATGCAACAATATTTTACAGCAATTTCTACTTTACCATTCATAGGATTTACACAGTTTAATTCTTCATATACCTTCAGTGCAACACCACAAATAATACTTAGACCATATTACTTTGATGCCCTGTAAGTATGCACCGCCACAAAAGGGCTTTTTCACAACAAACATTTTGAAAAGAACTAATAAATAACACCTTTGCATATGACATTTGAAAATTGCAGTGTCAAAAATACTGAATTGATTGGTATTTGTATTTACTTCTGTGATCTTTCCAGCCCTGAAATAAATAGAGTATTATTTATTTATTGAACTGAAGGCCATATATTAAAAAAAAACCTCACTGTAATGTGTCATTTACAGTAGGAAACACAGGATACTATTTTAAAGGTGCGTGCACACAATGACTCAGCATAATTTTGCTTTGTTGTTCCCCCTAAGTTGTTAAACAGATACCATTGTGTGTTTGATCAGAGTGAAAGGAGAACCTGCTGATCATGTTGGCTGAGCTTTAAGATTTGATGCTGTATTTAACCTGTTAAATACTAAACCTTTCAAAAACCTTTCCTCACAAAAAATCCTTCATAATGAAAAACAAGCAGTGTAGCAATTTAAAATAAAGCTTTGACTAATGAATGATTAAACAGGCGCTGAAAAAGAAAACATTGCTACTAAAATAAACTAAATGCTAAAATTAACAGGTTATTGGTTACTGAATAAACACATTCCCCTTACATTTAGCTTTTCTTAATTTTACCTTTAGTGTTTGTCAAACACACAAACACACACTGACGCATAAAAAGGAACTGACCAACTCATTCCACAGAGGCCCGAGGTACGTCATATTAAATGTTTTTTTGTGTTTGCGTTCTCACTGATAAAAACCATAGCTGCTTACCCACTGAGCCCCTGAGTGAACACGCTTAATTAAATACCACCTCCATACCTCCTGTGTGTGTGTGTGTGTGTTGCCTGTTTTTCTGAGAGCGAGGAAACAGCATATATGAAAAAATAAAGTTATGATTTTAATCACTGCCTATACTGACTGAATGTGTAAACTTAAGTCGGCCGGTACCCTGGCAGTTTTACCAAGCTAGTCTCTGTGCTGCTATAGAGCGGGACACAATGAAGGCTTAGCTGATAGTGGGGGGGAGACCTCATGGGTAAATTGAGGCATTTAAAAAGAAGCTCTGTTCAGCGGTAACCTGATCCACACCTGACTGGGGCTCGGCATTCCGGTGTGGCCGGGGGAACAGTTCACAATTACCAGAGAAACTGCAGCAAAGAGCCAGGGCCCTGGAAATCTGCGGTAAATGGTTAAAAATTATTCTGAAAGTCACTTTTCACGAGAGAAAAAAAACAAGCAAACAAAAGGAACATTTTCATTATTATCCATCTTTATTTAAATGATTTTTTTCTTTACAACATACCACATTAGATACACTTTCTATGTACAGAGTGTGTGTGAGAGTTTTGAAAACTGTGCGCATTGTTCTTCTGTAGCTGGAGAAAATCCAAGTTCCCAAAAGGAATTTAGTTATTGCGGTAAGAGTAAGAACGCCGATCTTTCAACAGAAACGTTACACAATTTCTAATCCTTTTTTTCTTTTTTACATCATATTCACATTAACATTCCTGTCAGAAGCCAGATTACAGCACAAAGACCCCTAAAAGTCCAACCTTATCTTGAACTGCTGCTCAATTGAGAAACTTTGACTCAAGGCACATGGAAGAAACCACCAAAAAATCAAACCATCTTCCAGCGCATGGATCATAGTTCCATAGTCATCACTCAGCCCCATCTGCCACTACTGTTAATATGCTGATGTGCTTCCCTGGATTGCCCTTTGTCAATGCGCTGAGAGTCAGATGCACGAGAGTGTGAGAATAGGAAGTAAGAGAGCAGAAGGTAATGCCATTTAATGGACGGCATTACCAGACAGTATTAGACACCAATAATTACATCTAACCATGTCTGGTAAGACGCCAATCAACAGGCTGGAAGGATGACTTCTGAGCTTTCACCTGTGCAAAGAGGAAGATGAAAGCTGGAGGGAAGAGAACAGTGTTGCAGAAACAGGCTGAAATGAGCAGTTCCTCTTTTGCTGCGATCATAGATTCTGTAAACACTACATTGTACCTTAAGTCATTTTTTCCATTTTACTTTGCCAAGCATGCAGAAAGAGTCAAAGCCACAGGTAAACAGACCAAGGGGAGAAAAAAAGCAAAGTACGCTTGGCTAGCTTGACTTTTTGTTTTCCGGTTTGGCTACATTTTTACATTAACGCAAATTAAATGATGAAATCCAGAGAAAAGGGGGATAACTGGAGGGACAAAATACAATTCCATGTTTCTGTGGCTTAGATAATGGAGCTAGATGAGCAAATAAAGGTGTGGCTCAATATTTGTGGGGTAATTCTCCCTCCTTCTGCAAACACTAGGTTTCTGCTTGCTTCATGTCTATTATTTGCTTTTGTTTCTGACGTCTGTTTGAAGACTTTACCCATGACATTCACATCTGTCCCGATGATGGAAAGTGTTCATTGTGTAAAACGGTGTATTTAATCTCCTCTGTTCTAAGTCAACAGCACAGAAATTAATTGGAAGTTAAACTTCCAATGTATTATAGGAAGTCAGTTTTATATCTGCTTAAAATTCCTGGTAGACAAGCCTTGGAAAGCTGGGAAAAGGCTATAGTCTATAAATGACTCTATAGCTGTGTTGGGTTTTTTTATGCAGTAAGGCACTCTCAGGTGAGCTCATGTGTCAGTTCCAGGATGTGCCACGCAGGTAGGGCTAGGTGGACCAATCGCTGCCATACAGCACAAAGACCAACACTGTTCAGGGGAGGGAACAAGGAAATGAGGCCCTGCAGGACCGGTGGAACCATCAACTGACTGCTATTCTTTAACTTGGGGTGGGGTTGCCATTAACGTTTTTTTTTTTTAAAAGGGAGGTTGGGAGATAAGTTAAAGAGCTGACTTTCAGGACTTACTGTATTAGAGATCTACTTGCTCTCACAAGAATATATTAGGGAAAAGCCTAAGAACTATAGTAGTTCGCTGGACTCAGACAGAATTCGGTACAGCCTGAGGCAATGCAAGTCTACTGTAAACAAAAGACTGCAAAGTTTACCTGGAATC